AGCGTGCTGATCTTGTCATGCCTGTTGGACCCCGACTGACAGAATTTTACTCTTCATATTTACAACGCTACAAAAAGGAAATGGATGTGCTTTCATTCACTCCAGGACTTTTTGAAAGGGAATTTGGGGATTTGGAACAAGATGTCAATAACAATGCAGATTTTAAAGTGTTAATTTTTGGTCGTGGCGATAAGGAAGATTTTGAGCTTAAAGGGTACAGCATTGCTGCTAAAACATTTATTGACCCACGGTTGGAAAAGAAACCTTATCAACTGATCTTTGTCGGTGCCCCTAAAGAAAATGAAGAGCAAGAGGAGTTTAAAGAAAGACTTTTGCAATGTGGTATTGCTAAAGAACAGCTTATTGTTAGAACATTTATAGAAAACAGGGATAGTCTAAAGGATTTACTGTGCGAAGTTGATCTTGCCATCATGCCATCAAAATCAGAGGGATTTGGTCTTGTCGCGCTTGAAGCCTTATCTGCAGGCCTCCCCATTCTTGTGGGCAGTAGGTCAGGATTTGCCAAAGCATTAGAAAATGTTCCTAATGGTTATTCATGCATCGTGTATTCAGATGATCCTGCAAAGTGGGCAGAGGCAATTGAAGTTGTTCGTGTCAGACATGGAATGCGGCTTAGAGAGATCAAAGCTCTGAAAGCATCCTATGGAGAGGTATACAGTTGGAGAAAGCAATGTGACGCCCTTGTGGAGAGGATGTGGAAAATGATCCATGGTATGTTTGAACTATATACTGGCTTATGTTTGGACATTTTTAGTACATGTAATAATGGTAAGATAATTTAGTTCGTTGTACCTTATCGTGGCACAGGATGGTCAATACTTGTCTTAATAGACTCCCTTAAGGTCTTGGACGCAGGTCGCCGAAAAGTACTTTAGGTAATTGAGGTACTACCCTCTGTTGAGCTTAATTATAGTTATCGCTAAATTTTTAAATGGGAGGTAAAAATCTTTGGAATAAGCCGTAGAGAACACTATGTGCATTCAACATGAGCAACAACATTATAGACGAAATACTTGGCTATAAAGTTTCTCAAGAATTCCTACAAAAAAGTTATTCTTGCTTTGATTTAAGCTAAAATTAAAACGCCTTGTATCTTAAAAGCCTATTTTTTTCATTGAACATCAACCTGATTTCCTGTAATAAGTTTAATAATGTTTAATTGCCGTCATAACGAATGTTTGAAATGTGAAAATGAAATGATAAGCATGTCATGATCACGAGCGTGGGACAAAGAAAAAATCTGAGTCCCTGACAGGCTTCGAACCTATGACCTCCCAAACACCCAAACACCGGGCGGGCGCTCTATCCACTAGAACTCATGGAGAGCGAGACCACATACTAAGTTCATATTAACGAAAGTTTGTTTTCACAGGATCCTCTGTGGAAGAAAACAAAAACCCAAGAACAAACGCTCCTACTGATGATGATCGGCTTGTTTCGGAAAGGTCCCCTGGTAGTAACTCTGAAAAGAAAATTGATGCTACATCAGAAAATCAAACCGAAATATCCACAAATACAGGCTCTCAGTCTCAAAATAGCCGTAAGCGTAAACTTTCAGGATCTTCCCGTGACCCAGGTATGAAATTTTTTTTCTCTCTACTGCTCACTCACATGACTCTGAAGGGTGGGGTGATTTGTTAGATTTCACAAAGGTGCTTTTTTGACAGAGATGTTTCAGTACTGTTTGCTCTTTTTCCTCCGAATTTTAGCGTTTTATTAGACCCGAATGGGATTCTACCGGAATTTTGATAGTACGTTCTTCAGTGGTGTCGTTTTTATTTCCAGACATCGTTATCAAGCACAGTTACCAGGACCTGAGTAATGAACAGGAAGAAACAGTCCATGACATTCTATCACATCACATACAAGTGTTCATCAAGAATCGCAAGGTTGCAACTCCTGATGGAGTGTCTGCTCTGATTGAACATATACACAAAACGTACAACTTGGCCTTGGAATCCGTGGGTGTAGGTTCTCTAGAATTAAAATTTCGATGCCCCACCCTGGAGAGCCTTGAGCATTTGTGGAGTGACTATCAGTCAGGTTACCTTAATGAGATTGCTGAGAAATATCTTGTGACCAATGACATAAAGGAGAAGCTGAACTTGGAGACTGTCAGGTTAAAGACAACAATTGAAGAT